ACACTTGCAATTTTTGTGATTGGTTTGGTTTGATTCCTGAAAAAAATAGGAACGATTCAAGAGCATTTCAATGAACTAATAGACATTGAACATGAAACAAGTAGAACCACAAACATTCGTCTTCCAATCTTTACTGCCAAGCAGAATTCGCAGCAGGATTAAACAACACCTCGCAGTATTCATCGGGCACTTCCAACTCCTGTGATCCATCGCAGGTTTCGCGAAAATCGCGCAAATCGCGAAAATCGCGCAAATCGGATCGCGGACTCTGACACCAGCCTACGGAAACTATGACACCGGCCTTAGCGCTTTAACACGTTGACGACATCGCGCGTTTTGGGTTTTTGCACCGCGTGGGACAAGGGCGCTTTTGCGAGCGCGGCCGTCACACCTCACACCGTAAATTTCGAACGATAACCTTGGGAAGCTTCAAAGGTACGAAACCATTTCAGCAATATTCAATGCGTAGAAAGTAATCGAAGATATAGTAGCGAAATTCCGATCAAAAAACGTGAAATGGTAAAGAAAATTGGAATTTAAGTCCTTTTTCTGTAGTGGATGCCGGCTCCCAGACAATACCTAACCATTTGGGCGCGGCCGCGGCGAACGCGGCCGAGTCGATTGTGCCCGCGAACCGTTGAAAACGCACTCGAGGTGCCCGCGAACTGTGCTGTGCTGAGTTCGCGGGCACCTATCAACTCGGCCGCGTTCGCCGCGGCCGCGCCCAAATGGTTAGGTATTGTCTGGGAGCCGTGGATGCAAAACTATTTTCGATGTGGATGTGTCAAGTGAAACATATATTTTCTATCCCTTTAATTTGTATTAACTTTCACTAGAAGGAAGAAAACGAGGGATGAACCGAGCTGCCAATTCCGCTGTGCTTAAAAACTTCTGCTAAACTGGAGCATATTTGATCATACCGTGACCCATGTCGTTTACAGTTATGTTATGTTGTAATCCATAGAATAGAGACAAGCAAATTGGGAAGAATCCCCGCATACGCTAGAAAAAGGGATGACAAGGGTGAGACGCGGTACCGCGTCTCAATGTCCAACGAGGTGCGCAAAGTGAGACGCGTTACCGCGTCTCAATGTCGTCAATGTGTTAAATTGCAAACACCGGAAGGCCGATGTCATAATTTGCGAATTCGAGCGATTCGCTAGCGAATCGAGCGATTCGCTAGCGAATCGCTCGAATCCGAAGAACGCCCTGTACAGGGCGACTATATAGTGGCGATCAAAGGAAGCGAGCCACATTCAAACAGTGCCACGTGACAGTGGACCTTTTTTGAAAGTGTCCGGCTTTCTTTGAACGTTGGGTCCCGCCACTAGTGAGTTCGCTAGCGAATCGCTCGATTCGCAAACTATGACATCGGCCGAACGTCTACCATTCATCTAGCGAGCAGTGGACACTTTGGTTTTCTTATGCTGAAACTTCACACCGTGAAAGAGCCAGGCATGATCCGCCTCTCATCTTTGTAGAAAACGCCATCATGAATTGCTATAACATTTTGTGATGTTAGCAGACATATCCTCAAACTTCGAGAGTTGGGGTAGTGTCACCGAAGCGACTTGTGATAAAAGTTGGTTAGTGAATAACTGCTCCTTCTAAGCATACATGCGCTTGCATATCTGCAAACATGCTGCAACGGCTGTCCTGCCCCGCAACTTCTACCCATGCATTTCAACTTCCGTATACAACGAGCCACACCCCACCCCCATTTCCGGACACATCTTCTCTATAGGCCGATGTCAGACTTTGCGAATCGCGCGATTCGCTAGCGTCTGCGGTCGCGTCGCGGCCAGTGAATCACTCAATTGGCTGGTACCGCAACGCGACCGCGGACGCTAGCGAATCGCGCGATTCGCAAAGTCTGACATCGGCCTAAATGAGTCGTTCAGTGGTAAGGATCATCTAGCAAGTCCGTCTAGAACAACCTGGTCTGTCTTTAGGGAAGTAAGAGCGCTTTGAAAAAAAAAAAGCTGGTCTGCTAGATTTCCGGTGTGCTGACATTTTCCGGTGTTCTCCAAAAGCTTATCCTACTACTGCTTCCAGACGACCAGCTCGCTCGGTCGTACCTTCCTATTGGTCCTCCAGACTGTTATTTTTCGATGCAGAGCGTTGGTACCTTTGTGCCGTATACGTTCCCTGCAGCGTTGATGTTATCGTTGGCCTATCGTTCACTGCCGTTTCTGCGGCGCTCATTACAGATGCTAACTCAAAGCGGTCGTCTAAGCATTATCGGGGAAAGAAGTTCAAACAAAATCAGCGCCAGGCTTTCGTAAAAATATGCCCAGCACTGCCGTCTGGATTCCTAGGGCCGATGTGCAGAGAACGGCGCCTAGAATGCCCCGCGAGAAGAGCGGCAGAGGTAGTCTAAATGCGCTGAGTTGCAAATAGTCCGTATCGATCACCTTTCCCATTCCACAACATTCAGCATGGACCGGGCGCTTGGATCTGCTGCCAGGCGACGTACGTACACGATGTGGGAGCCGTTTGCCCCTCGTATCAACTTCGTCACATGTGGTTTAATATGTTTAAATGACACTAGTATGTCCCTTTGTTAAATTATGGAAGGAAAAATCGATACAAAAGAAATAATTGAAATGGTTCGTTTCGTTCCTTCCTCAGACGAGCCTTATTATTAAGTTTAAGGTAACACACCGAAGCATTGCGCTCAGTAAGCAGAAGCTATCTTTGTATTCGAACATAGCTATTGAAATAAACTAAGAAACTGTTTCAAACTTCATCGCGCCACACCCAGAAAAGAAAATCAACCAAAATGAGAATTAAAGAAGAGAAAACTTGAAAGCACAAGGATCACCTGTTTAATGTATCTCTCGTAGTCGCGTGATGGTCGCGAACGGCACGATAGTCGAACAGAAGTTAGTGTCAAAGATAGACTTTTGAAACTCAAGCGCGAGTACTGAAGCAGTACCTGGCCGAGAACTGATACACTCGAACCTCGTGCTACAGCAAAACCGCGACTGGAATCGAGTCACTGACGGATTTCGTTACAGGACCTCACTTTCTCGTCGGGCGCACTCCTCGAAAAACGTGCTGTCTCGCCTTTCTCGTCTCGTCTTCGGCCCAGCCAAGCTTCACACTGTCGGGAATTTTCGCTATTTTATGGTTTATGGAAATCTAAATTGATTGTTCTTGAACAGAGGTGTGAAGATGCGAGATTTTCAGCTCAATGAAAGTTGGATTCAGAATTCACATGCTGCTCATAGTCAACTCTATAGTTGCGAAAGTGTCCGCCACGAAGATTGTTTTCCGTGTTTTTGACCCGAGCTGCTTTCTTGTTCGTTCTGATTGCTTTGCTCAGTTCTCCCTTCTTATCATCAAGTTTCTAGGTGCTGAAGTGCCTTTTGGGCTTTCATATGATCATCCTTAGCTTTTGTCCTCCGATTTTTGTTAAGCTTTTCAAGCAGTCCACAAAATTTCGAAGATATGGTTGTATGCTTCCAGTCGTTGATGTAATTATGCGCTTCTTTTTGATATTTGCAATTCCCTCTGCTTTTCATGTCTACTTTTGTTTCAGGTATTAGAACCTTTTTCTCTTCTATTCTCTTATCTGTTTATCACGAAGACTTGTTTAATCTTATGAAAAATGGACACAGAAGTAGTCAAGGCTTTCAATGCCGAGGTGAGCTTTCTACTGGATACTTCATTAGTTTTCCGTTATTCCGTACGGTTGCTCGTCGTACATAATACTTTCCTTTGGTTTGCCCGAAATACCTGCTAGTAAAAATGAATATGCAGGGTTTAGAGCAGTGGGTTCTGTTTCTACAAGACTACAGTCCACTACTGAATTCACCTCGGGCGATACAGTCGTTAGATCTAGTTCTACCATTGTGGATCGCAAAGGCGCACGATAGGGTTGACGGACTACTTGAACCCGGTCCTTTAAGCCGCCTCAGATCCATCTCTCGTCTGCGCTCTCTCACCTTATCAGCGGCTCATGACCATTGTGATCTCACACACATTCAAACTTTTGACACACTGTAGTTGGCTCACCCACCTCGAAGTCCCTCCCTCCTACAAGGCTTACCAAGGAAGGTCTTTCAGGGTGTGCCAAGCTTTTTCAAAACGGTCTTTTGCATGATATAGGGGCACATGCGGGAACCACAGAACCATGGTTAATTTTTCCTGAACGGCCCTCTGAATACCAGAAAAGGGGGTCCCTAGTCACACCTTTTTCACCCAGTTTTTCAACCCAAAAAATCCCAAAAAGTCTATTTGTAAGGGTTCTAATCATGAATTTGGTACTAATTATTCATGCTAACTCCATTTTGCGCGAATTTGGAAACGTCAACACGAAATGCAAAAACTTGTCACCACGAGGAATCGAACTAGGGACCCCTTTTCTGGTATTCAGAGAGCCGTTCAGGAAAAATGAACCATGCTTCTGTGGTCCCCATATGTGCCCCAATGTCATGCAAGAAACCATTTTGAAAAAGCTTGGCACACCCTGAACGACCTCTTGTTAGTCTGGTGCGCTCCCTCGCTTCCATGGGATTTAGAGGCCAAGCCAGGATCGTTCTCCTTAACTGTCTGTGCCCATGCCTGCGCGTCTTGCCCATCCACGTCTTCCTGCCGCACACCACCATTCGTGGCAGGACAAGACTCCTTTCCTGCCCCAATTCGTGGCACAGGAAACAGTGGATGCGGTAATGAGTGTTACGAGGGAAAATTGTTAGCATGATACAATAGCTAAACCAGGTAGAGGTGTTAATGGGCGCTCATCCGGTAAGGGGGGGGGCATTGTGATGCAACGTCAAGTGGCTGCCCTCACCCCCCCCCCCTGACTGGCTTCACTCCCCCTGGCTCACGGGGTCCCGTACTTCGAGAAACCTGTGCGCCAGGGGGAGTGTAGGCAGTCTAGGGGGGTGGTGAGGGCAGCCACTTGATGCCCCCCCCCCCTTAATAACTTGGATGAGCGCCTAGATGACATCTTAAAAGAAGGCTCATGATAAGTAACATAACAAAAAACTTGGTCCTGTCAATTGGTTGCTGTCCTTTCCTTCTAAAAGTGTTATTGCAGTTAACGTCTGTATATGATTCGAAACCGCCATTGAGCAAGAAGAAAATACAAGATATTGCCAAAGCAGCTTTGAAAGCTAAGGGATTCTACAAACATGTCGTTTTCAGCGTGGAGAAATTTCTGGCAAAGGTTGGTTGGGGTCTTGTTTCTCATTACAATAAGTGAAAAGTATTTAGTTCCTTGAATTAATAAGCTCTATGTTTCAGTGCAAAATAGAGTATAAAATACCCTGTCTATACGTCATCGACAGCATCATTCGCACTTCGAAACACCAACTGAAAGAAAAGGATGTTTTCGCTGCTCGATTTCTCAAGAATTCTCGCACCGCTATCCGATCTCTTGCTTGTCCAGTGCAGATCCCCAGTAATCAGAATCTGTTTCTTTTCAGTCTCGTTATATTTTTTAAGTAATAATGAACTGGCAGTGCTGAAATAGTAGCACTAGAACTATTCTCTAGTGAAAAGATAGGTCTTGATCCTTCATTTTGTGCTGTTACAGCCTCGTGTCGTTCGGACTCTGAATTTGTGGAGTGCTAATGGCGTCTACACTGAAGAACAAATGGCTCCTTACAAGCAGCAATGTCGAGATATGGGCATAGGTGGGACTCTGAAGTTTTTT